AGCTGGCCTGGAAGAGGGGCAACCGGGACAGAATCCGGCGCCCCGACCGGGACTAGAACACGGTGTGCCGGCGCCACAAGGTGGAGGATTAGCCTAGTGAGCCACGGCACCGGCTCCAAGCAGTGTCTTAATAACCATTGTGTTGGCCGGCGCCGTGGCACACTAGACTAATCCTCCACCTTGTGTCGCCGGCACACTGGGTTCTAGTCCCGGTCGGGGCGCCGGATTCTGTCCCGGTTGCCCCTCTTCCAGGCCAGCTCTCTGCTATGGCCAGGGAGGGCAGTGGAGGATGGCCCAAGTGCTTGGGCCCTGCACCCCATGGGAGACCAGGATAAGTACCTGGCTCCTGCCATCGGATCAGCGCGGTGCGCCAGCCGCGGCGGCCAATGGAGGGTGAACCAACGGCAAAGGAAGATCTTTCTCTCTGTCTCTCTCTCTCACTGTCCACTCTGCCAGTCAAAAAAATAAATAAATAAATAAAAATTTAAAAAAATAACCATTGTGTTAAGAAGAGAAACAGTTTGGATATGAGAAGTTGAGATAGAAATCAAGAATTCTGCTTCATCATGTTAAAATTAGTGTATTTCTTACATGCCAGTTAGCTTTTTTTTTTTTTTTTTTTTTTTTTTTGACAGGCAGAGTTAGACAGTGAGAGAGAGAGAGAGAGAGAAAGGTCTTCCTTTTCTATTGGTTCAACCCCCAAGTAGAGGCTACGGCCGGTGTGTTGTGGCCTGTGCGCTGTGCCGATCTGAAGCCAGGAGCCAGGTGCTTCCTCCTGGTCTCCCATGCAGGTGCAGGGCCCTAGGACCTGGGCCATTCTCCACTGCCTTCCCAGGCCACAGCAGAGAGCTGGACTGGAAGAGGAGCAACCGGGACAGAATCCGGTGCCCCGACGGGGACTAGAACATGGGGTGCCGGCGCCACAGGCAGAGGATTAGCCTAGTGAGCCACGGTGCCGGCCTGCCAGTTAGCTTTTCATTACTACAATGAGGTATTTAAGATAAGCTACATATAAAGAAAATAAGTTTATTTTGGCATCTTAAAATTAAAATTATTTATTTTTTTTAGCCGGCTCCGTGGCTCAATAGGCTAATCCTCCACCTAGTGGCACCGGCACACCGGGTTCTAGTCCCGGTCGGGGCGCCGGATTCTGTCCCAGTTGCCCCTCTTCCAGGCCAGCTCTCTGCTATGGCCCGGGAGTGCAGTGGAGGATGGCCCAAGTGCTTGGGTCCTGTACCCCATGGGAGAGCAGGAGAAGCACCTGGCTCCTGCCTTCAGATCAGCGCGGAGCGCTGGCCGCAGCGCGCCAGCCGCGGCGGCCATTGGAGGGTGAACCAACGGAAAAGGAAGACCTTTCTCTCTGTCTCTCTCTCTCACTGTCCACTCTGCCTGTCAAAAAAAAAAATTATTTATTTTTATTATTTATTTGAAAGTAGAGAGAGAGTCAAAGAGAGATCTTCCATCCACTGGTTCATTCCGCAATTGCCTATAACAGCCAGGGCTAGGCCAGACCAAAGCCAGAATCCTAAAACCCAATCTGAGCCTCCTACATGAGTAGCAGAGACCTAGGTACTTGAGCCATTACCTGCTGCTTCTCAGGGTGTGCATTAGCAGAAAATTGGAATTGGAAATGGGGCTGGGACTTGAATCTAGGCACTCCAATATAGGATGCAGGCCGTGAAGCAATGTCAACCACTTCACCAGGCACTCACTGCTATTTTAGCTCTTGGTTTTGGAGATTCACAGTCCAAATCTAGGTGATCCCATTGGTCTGGCATCTGGAAACTGTATTCTTACTAGGAAGTCATGAGGTAACCCAGAGCATCACATAGCAAGGAGAGTATGTCTGCGGCCAGCACTGTAGTGTAGTGGGTAAAGCTGCCACCTGCAGTGCTGGCATCCCATATGGGCGCCAGTTCAAGTCCCAGCTGCTCCACTTACCCAGCTCTCTCCTATGGCCTGGGAGAGCAGTGGAAGATGGACCAAGTCCTTGGGCCCCTGCACCCACATGGGAAACTGGGAAGAAGCTCCTGGCTCCTGATCAGCGCGGCTCTGGCCATTGCGGCCATCTGGGGAGTGAACCAGCGGATGGAAGACCTCTCTCTCTCTGCCTCTCCTTCTCTGTGTAATTCTTTCAAATAAATAAATAAATCTTTTAAAAAAAAAAAAGGAGAGTGTATATGTCTATATTTCTCCTTATGGATCCACCATGATTTATTTCATCATGGGGCCAGACCCTACCAACTTAATCCAATCTGATCATCTCCTATAGGTCCCATCTCTAAGCCATAACTGAATTAATGCATCCTCTAGAACCATCATCATAAGTCTTTTGGAACTAAGACTATTAACACATGGACCTTTGGGTGAAAACCAAACTAATATTCAAACCATAACACCTTAGTTATCTAAGTGGTAAGGTCAAATAGGCAACTGTATATGTGTATTTGGAGTTCTGAAGGTCAGACTTGGAGATGAGGCTTATGAATCAACACCACAAAGTTGTATGGTAAAGCCAAGGAATAGGACAAGCTCACCTTGGGAGAATTAAAACAAAAAAGAAGGCCCAAAATGAGCCCTGGAACATTTAACATTTAGATATTGAGCAAAAGAGTGGCCTAGAGATAGGAAGAAAATCAGGAGATTGTGATGTCATAACAGCTAAGACAATAAACTGTTTCTAGGAAGAAGAGCCTATGACTAATGCTGCTAAGAGGTCAAGTAAGGTAAGAAGGGAGAAATGGCTATTGGCTTAGCAGTCCCAGGAGAGTGGTAGAGACAGAGCCTGACTGGAATGGAAAAAACAATTGTGTTCAATGAACCACTGTAGAACACTAATAATTCCTCAACAAATTCAAGTGCTACAGTATTAACTTCTTAATGTCTTTACCAGAAACTAACATTGTATCTTCAAACTTCTAGCAAAAAATATAGCAATACTTTTCCTAAAGACAGTGGAAATGGAGTAAGGAGCCAGAAGAATATGAATTTAAGCCCTTCCTTTACCACTTCCTAGTTATGTGTCTTTAGGCCAGTTCTTTGGCCATGTTAAGCCTCCCTTACATCATCTATAAAATGGGAATAATAATACCTACTTTGCACAGTTGTTTTATTTATTTATTGACAAGCAGAGTTAAACAGTGAGAGAGAGAGAGAGGGAGGGAGGAAGGGAGAGAAAGGTCTTCCTTTTCCGTTGGTTCACCCCCCAAATGGCTGCTACGTCCGGCACGTTGCGCCAATCCGAAGCCAGGAGCCAGGTGCTTCTTCCTGGTCTCCCATGCGGGTGCAGGGCCCAAGGACCTGGGCCATCCTCCACTGCACTCCCGGGCCACAGCAGAGATCTTGCCTGGAAGAGGAGCAACTGGGACAGAACCCGGCACCCCGACCAGGACTAGAACCTGGGGTGCCAGCGCCACAGACGGAGGATTAGCCAAGTGAGCCACAGCACCGGCCTTTGCACAGTTGTTGTGAGGAATAAGATATATTGCATATAAAGTGCCTAGTACAAGAGAGTTAGCAGTTGTTATTACTGCTATTATCATTTTTTTCTCACTAGTCCCTTTTTTCTTTAAAGATTTTCTTTTTATTTCAAAGAGTTACAAAGAGAGAGAGGGAGAGACAAAGACAAACAGATCTTCCATCTGCTGCTTCACTCCCCAAATTGCCACCATTAGCCAGTACTGAGCAAGGTAGAAGCCAGGAGCTTCTTCCATGTCTCCCACATTGGGAGCACAGGCCCAAACACTTGAGCCATCTTCCACTTCATTTCCCAGGTCATTAGCAGAAAGCTGAATGGGAACTGGCGTAGCCAGGACATGAATTGGTATCCATATGGGATGTTGGCATTACAGGTAGCATCTTTACCCACTATGCCACAACACTGGCCCCTCAGTATCTTTAATAAAAAAATCAAAAGACCTTATTGTAATTGGGTTACTCTAATCATTAAAATTAAGGAGAGGGGGTGCATTTAGCCTACCATTTAAGGGGCAGGCATTGTGGCACAGTGATTAAGCTATCACTTGGGATGCCTGCCTCTCATATTGAAGTGCCTGTTGAAGTTCCAGCTGTTCTGCTTCTGATCCTGCTAATACATTCTGGAGGCAGCAGCTAATGGCTCAAGTACTTGGCCTCCTACCACTCACATGGGAAACATGGATTGCCTCTTTCTCTCTCTCCCTGTTTTCAAATAGATAAAATAAATAAACATTGAACAAAACAAACAAACAAAAAAGCTGGATAAGATGCCCACATCCCATGTGGGAGTACCTGGGTTCAATACCCATCTCTGGCTCCTGACTCCAGTCTCTTGCTAATGCAGACTCAGAAGCAGCAGTGATGGTTTGGGTAATTGGGTCCTTGCCACCCATATGGGAGACCTGGATTGGGTTCCTGGCTCCCAGCTTCAGCTCTGGCCCAGCCCCAGATGTTACAGGCACTTGGGGAACAGGAAACAAACCAACAGATGAGATCTCATTCTTTCTCTTTTGCTCACTTGCTCTCTCCCCTCTCTGCCTCCCAGAAAATTTAGACAGATTTTAAAACATAATAAATGTGAAAATAGTTAGAATAGTTTTTCTTAACCTTTTAAAAATATATATCCCAATCTTTGTAGATATAAAAAGTCATCCATCCACTTAAGAGATTCTATCATGCCTCATGGAAGTTATGTGGCAGACTGAGAACTGCTTTACCTTCTACATTTCCTCATCAGCCAAAAATTCTATTAAGTTCTACTTTCTGAAGTCTATATCAAGGAAAATAATAGTTATTAGAGGTATAGATTCATCTAAAACTTTAGGCTGTGCCTATGACTTATACTTCATTTAGAAGGCTAACCATATACTTCTTACACCCTTACACTCAGGGATGTTAGCCTTTCAATTTACTGTTACATAAAAATAATTGTCATTTTATATAAGATATTTCAGTATTTAATGTATAGAAAAAAATACTAAAAAAAAAAATGTCAAACCACTGAAAAGTATGTGATTACTTACCGCAATGTCAAAGTATAATCCCCCTGCATCTTTGTTGAGGCATCTCGGACCAAGAAGGTACCATCTGGCATGTCCCGTAATTTGTCATTTACCTCCTCTCTGAAGAACAAATTATAGGAAATATGAAAAATGGTAAGCACTGGTTGTCTTCATATGTTATTACTCAGATTAGTTGGAAGGTAGTACCCAAAACCACATTTTACCCAAAAAGCAAATCCAGTATTCCTGTATTTCAAAGTGAGTTGTGTGAAATGAGTTGTGTGAAGAGTCTGCATCAAAATCACTTGGGGTAGTTGTTAAATGAAGATTCCTAGGATCCACCCTCAACTGATTTTTATGCATGCAAGGATTTTAGAACCATAGTTTTAGAGAAAGAAAGATAAAAAATTTAAGTACCTATAGGTATCTTTTATTCTAAACACATGTAACTATCCTAAACAAATAAGTTTCTTTTTTTTTTTTTTTTTTTGACAGGAAGAGTGGATAGTGAGAGAGAGACAGAGAGAAAGGTCTTCCATTGCCGTTGATTCACCCTCCAATGGCCGCCGTGGCCAGCGCACTGCGGCCAGCGCACCGCACTGATCCAATGGCAGGAGTCAGGTACTTATCCTGGTCTCCCATGGGGTGCAGGGCCCAAGCACTTGGGCCATTTTCCACTGCACTCCCGGGCCACAGCAGAGAGCTGGCCTGGAAGAGGGGCAACCGGGACAGAATCTGGCACCCCGACTGGGACTAGAACCCGGCATGCCGGCACCACAAGGTGGAGGATTAGCCTAGTGAGCCGTGGCGCCGGCCATAAGTTTCATTTATCCAAAAATCCATCCAATCCCTAATATAGTATTAAAAGTAATACATCCAGGGCTGGCACCATGGTGCAGTAGGTTAATCCTCTGCCTGCAGTGCTGGCATCCCATATGGGTGCCAGTTCTGGTCCTGGCTGATTCTCTTCCGATCCAGCTCTCTGCTAAGGCTTGGGAAGGCAGTGGAGGATGGCTTGAGTGCTTGGGCCCCTGCACTCGCTTGGGAGAACAGGAAGAAGCTCCTGGCTCCTAGCTCCTGGCTTCAGATTGGCACAGCTCCAGCCATTGCAGCCATTTGGGGAGTGAGCCAAAGGAAGGAAGACCTTTCTCTCTGTCCCTCTCACTGTCTGTAACTCTACCTCTCAAGTAAGTAAATAAAATCTTTAAAAAAAAAAAAAAGTAATATTCTTGTTATTTTTTTCAAAGGAGGAACTTTAGACAGTTTTAAAATGTACCCACACATAATTCTTGAAATGGTAACTTTTAAATGAAAATGAGTAGGACATTATAAAATTTTTAACAGGGACCAGCATTGTGGCATAGGGTGAAACCACCACCTGTGAGGCCTGCATTTCGTATGGGTGCCGGTTGAGTCTCAGCTGCTCCACTTGTAATCCAGTGCCCTGCTACAGGCCTGGGAAAAAGCAATAGAGGATGGCCCAAGTGCTTGGGTCCCTGCCACCCATATGGGAGACCCAGAAGAAGCTCCTGGCTCCTGGCTTCAGCCTGGCCATCTGGTGATTGAACCAGCAGAGGGAAGATCTTTCTGTAACTCTGACTTTCAAATAAATAAATAAATCTCTAAAAATAAATAAATCAACAAAATGTTTGACTACAAATTCTCAAAAATGATTTTAAAAAACTGTACTCAATTATAGAAGCATTCTAGTTACCTTGAAATATCCCCCCAGTACCATTCTGCATCCTGGAGAGAAACAGAACTGTCTTTCATTCCATTTGTAACTGCTGAAGTCATTGGCTTAGGTGGCTTTGGTGGAAGAGCTAGAAGAGAAATGAATATTATTTTACAGATGTAAACTATTATTTTCCAATTTCTTCAGTAAGAAATAACCCATTAACAAATGTACATTAAGATTCAAGTATTTCTTAAATTAAGTACTATTTTAAGTTAAGCGTTAGCCAAAGAATGAATCCTTTTTGAATTCTATAATTGCATAAAAAGTAGAAATTTCAAACTATTTGAGTTTTTCCTCCTTATAAAATGCTTACTTTTAATCCCAAAAACTCCATTGTCTCTCAAAAGACAATGTGAAGCCCATCCCCAAGCAACTGATGGCAAAAGCCGCAAAGTGACTAATGTGCAATGTGACAACTATGGAGGATACTTCAAAATATTCACTGAAAAATGAAATCAAAAGTTTCTTTTGTTACAAAAAGTTTTGAAATATATGCAAAGCTTTTTCATAATATGCATTTTCCATAACTTTTTGAAGAGTCCATGTATGTATGTATGTATGTATGTATTTCAACACTTTTTTTTTTTTTTTTTGACAGGCAGAGTGGACAGTGAGAGAGACAGAGAGAAAGGTCTTCCTTTGCCGTTGATTCACCCTCCAATGGCCGCCGCGGCCAACGTGCTGCGGCCGGCGCACCGCGCTGATCCGATGGCAGGAGCCAGGTACTTATCCTAGTCTCCCATGGGGTGCAGGGCCCAAGCACTTGGGCCATCCTCCACTGCACTCCCTGGCCACAGCAGAGAGCTGGCCTGGAAGAGGGGCAACCGGGACAGAATCCGGTGCCCTGACCGGGACTAGAACCCAGTGTGCCGATGCCGCAAGGCGGAGGATTAGACTAGTGAGCCGCGGCGCCGGCCTTATTTCAATACTTTTTACACCAAAATAAACTTCTCATTCCATTTTCCCACAAACTCTTTGAAGTACCCTCATATAGTTAATATTGTATACTACTGATTTCCCAGGAGAGTAGATTTTAGGTACTCTTATCACAAAAACAACAAAAAAGGTAACTATCAGATGAAGGGTATGTTCCTTTTCTTGACTACCATAATCACTTCATAATGTATATCTAGATAAGAAAATCAGAAGATCATTTTGTATAATGGATCTCAAACCTTCCAGCGCTGCAGCTCAATAGGCTAATCCTCCACCTGCAGCGCCGGCACCCCGGGTTCTAGTCCCGGTCGGGGCGCCAGATCCTGTCCCAGTTGCTCCTCTTCCAGGCCAGCTCTCTGCTGTGGCCCGGGAGTGCAGTGGAGGATGGCCCAGGTCCTTGGGCCCTGCACCCGCATGGGAGACCAGGAGGAAGCACCTGGCTCCTTGCTTCGGATCAGTGCGGTGTGCCGGCTGCAGTGGCCACTGAGGGGTGAACCAACGGAAAAGGAAGACCTTTCTCTGTCTCTCTCACTGTCCACTCCGCCTGTCCAAAAAAAAAAAATAATGGATCTCAAACCTTGAGGAAAGTTCCCTCCCAGGATCAGCCAGGCGTATTGAAGCTGACTGAAGTAACCAGGGCAGCAGCATAGGGCCGGGGTGACACAGCATTTTGGAGATCAAGTGTGTAAAAGGGCAATACTCAGAGGCAGGCAGCTTGATGCAGTGGGACAGAACGATTAGGTGAAAAAAGGGTTTCTACTTGGGCAGGGATTAGGGAGAGCCAGGGAGAATGCAGCAATAGCTCTAAGAGATTGGGTACATACAGAGGGAGAGATTAAATAAGTAAAACTATTAAAGATAAGAGGAGCCAGATTTCTCATAGTTTAAAAAGGAAGCTAACAAACATGAAAAGATAAAAAAAATTAGAATGAACTCTATAGTATTGGACTGGAACTACAGCTACTGATATAAACTCATGAATTTCAATATTTATACAGATATAAAATAAATGTGTGCAAATGTTTAAACTAGTAATTAAGATGCCCCCATCCAATCCTGGAGTGTCTGGGTTCAATTCCCAGCTACTTGTCAATTTAGAGCCAGGGAGGCAGCAATGATGACTCAAGTACTTGGGTTCCTGGTACCCATGTGTGATACGTGGGTTGAGTTCCCACCTCTCAGCTTCTGCCCAGCCCAGTCCTGGTCACTGTGGGAATTGCTGGCTTCAGATCAGCCCAGCTATTGTGGCCACTTGGGGAGTGAACCAGCAGATGGAAGACTTCTCTCTCAGCCTCTGCCTCTCTGTAACTATGCCTTTCAAAGAAATAAATAAATCTTAAAAAAAAAAAAAAAAGAGAGAGAGAATGTGAGGGTCTATATATACCGAGAATATATACACTCCCTAGTTCTATTCTCTGAGAGACCCTAGGAGCAGTTAATACCCCAAAGTGTACACTTAGCACCCAGATCCTGGTTTCTAATGCCATTCTCTACTGAGTGGAACCAGGTTCTTTACAGAAATGGCTGATTCCAGGACTAGAGCAGAAAAGGTAACAAATGAGCCTGAAGCATCATGGGCCAAAAAAGGGCCATGTCAAAATAATTAGGAAGTGAGGTTAAAGGGGCTCCCACTGGCCAAATCCAGAACAACTGGAGCATAATTACAAATAATGATAGTAAAAAGATACAACTCATTAAGCAAAACAGGAATCTGATGAGCTATACAGATAAAAATAATTGAAAAAATTGAAAAACTGATAAGCAACAGATGTATACATTAATCTCAATGTACTATCCCAGAAAAAGCTTATTAATCACAAAAGGAAAAATAATAATTAGTAAATAAGCCTGGCAAACACCATTTTAATATAGAAATCAAAGTTAACATTACATTACAAGTAATCATGAAATCATGGGCCCTAATAGGATGCCCTGAGAAGGATATATCACTTCTGTGATATTCCTACCAAATATGCATAAAATGAATGTAATTAAGAGGAAACATCAGACCAACCACAAATGAGAGAGTGTTCTACAAAATGGTTGCTGGTCTGTAATCTTCAAAACTGTAAAATTCAGAAAAGTCAAGGAAACAATAAAGTGTTTCATATTAAAGAAAACTAAAATATCACAACTAAATGCAGTATGCAATTCTAGACTGGATCCTTTTGCTAGGACAATAGATAAAACGCAAGGGATCTGAGGATGACATGGTAACAATACATTGATGTTAGTTTTCTAATTTGATGGTTATATTGTAGTTATGTGGGAAAAATGTTCCTTTAAAAACAAATATTTATTTATTTATTTGAAAGGCAGAAAATTATATAGAGAGAACGAGAGACAGAGAGAGATCTGTCCACTGGTTCATTTTTGAAACAGAGTTTTTCTGCTGCCTTTCCAGGCAGCATTAGAAGGGAGCTGGATTGGAAGTGGGGCAGTGAGGACTTAAACCAATACTCCTTAGGATGTTGGCACCACAGGTGGTGGCTTAACCCACCGTGGCACAATGTGTCGCCAATTTTTTGTTTTGTTTTGTTTTTGAGAGGCAGAGAAACAGAGAAAGAGGGATACATAGAGGGTTCCCATCCACTGATTCACTACCCAAATGCCCACAAAAGCCTGTGCTGGATCAAGGCTAAAGCCAGGGACTGTGAACTCAATCCAGGTCTCCTTTGTGAGTGGCAGGAAGCCAATTACTTGAGCCCTCACCTGCTGCCTGCCAGGGTCTGAATTAAAGAAGTCTGAATTAAAGAAGCCAGAGCCAGGAATCAAAGCCAGATGCTCCAATGTAGGATGTGTGCATCTCAACCTGCATCTTAAACACCAGGCTAAACACCCACCCCAGGAAAATGTTCTTGTCTGTGGGAAATACACACAAACACGGTCATCATGGGGCATCACACTGACAACCTACTTTAAAATAGTTCAAAAGCTGGTGTTGTAGCACAGGGAGTAAAGCTACCATCCGCAACCACAATATCCCATATGGGGGCTGGTTCAAATCTTGTCTGCTCCACTTCTGATCCAGCTCTGTGTTAATGGCCTGAGAAAGCAGCTGAAGATGGCACAAACATTTGGGTCCCTGCCACCCATGTGGGAGACCCAGATGGAGCTCCCAGCTCCTGGCTTCGACCTCTCCCAATATTGTTCATTGGGGCCACTGGGGAGTGAACCAACCAAAGGATGAAAGATCTCTCTCTCTCTCTCTCTGTAACTCTTTCAAAATAAATAAGCCTTTAAAAAAAATAAGTTCAATAAAATAAAGTTCTATAAATTGTACTTAGAACCATGTTGACATTGTTCTCTTTAACAACAACAAAAATGGGGGCTATCTTAGAGGAAAAAGAGAACAATGTGAATATGTTCCTCAAAACAGAAGTCCCTTAGAGTGAAATGATTTTTTTTTTTAAGATTTATTCATTTATTTGAAAGGCAGAGTTACAGAGAGGCAGAGGCAGAGAGAGAAGTCTTCCATCCTCTGGTTCACTCCCCAGTTGGCCACAATGGCTGGAGCTGTGCTGATCCAAAGCCAAGAACAGCTTCCTGGTCTCCCATGTGGGTGCAGTAGCCCAAGGACTTGGGCCATCTTCTACTGGGCCACAGCGGAGAGCTGGATCAGAACTGGAACAGCCAGGACACAAACCAGTGCCCATATGGGATGCCAGCACTGCAGCTTTACCCACTATGCCACAGCGCAGGCCCCATGAAATGACTTTCAACAGGGATGTCAAAATGGTAAAATAGGCTTTTTAAAAAAATGGTGCTGAACAACTGGCTATTCTTACACAAAAGGAAAGAAGCTAGACCCCTATCTCAAGTAAAAATGGATCAAAGACCTAAATGTAAGGCCTAAAACAAGAAATTTTTTTCTTATGTATGATATTGCAAGCACAAACCAAAGAGAAAAACAGATCAAGCTGCAAGAAAATTAAAAACTGTACTTTATCAACAACACAGTGAAAAGACAATACACAGAATGGGAGAAAACTTTGACATATGGATAAAAAACATGTCTAGAACACATATCTAAAGAACTCTGTAACTGAATAATAACAGACTAATAAGGGCAGGCATTTGGCATAGGTGGTTAAGATCTTACTTGGAATGCTTACTTCCCATGTTGGGATGTCTGAGTTCATGTCCCAC